TTCAATAATTAATTAGCCTTGTTTTTTATTTTTGGCTTTTTTCTAGTCCCATTCACTTGAATTTTCACAATTAAAAGTTAGAAATATAAATATTATATTAAAAAAATGTTACAACTATAATTTTTTTTAAATTAAAAAATGTAGTTTGATCTTATACTTCATTTGGGATAATTTTCTCACTGCTTTTTGAATCATTTTTTAGTATTAAATTTATTAAAAGCTAAAAAAAAATTCAAAATCTATCCCAATTGAAGCCTTAATTTGAGTTCATTATTGTTAGTCCATAAAGATACATATTGGTAATTAAAGCTAAAAGTTATATGAGGAGCAAAAGAACACTTAGAATCTTCTTATATATCCCAAATGTTTAAAAGAAATATAGTCAAATTATCTTTTAATTGTATCTTTAGTGAAAGAAGAATCACTATAAGAGAAAAGGAGATTTTAAAGAGATGAAAAACTTATTAGCAATAGAATTATACTTCATAGAGAAGTGCTACTTTTCATATCCATTAGAAATGGAGAGATATTTTAAGGCTCTAAAATTAGCAATTCCTAATCAATCAGAGAGGAGAGTGAAAAGAGCAAATATTAAAAACTTTTAATCATGCTATAAAGAAGAAATACCACAAATAAAGAACATAAAAAAATGAAAGAAAAAAAAAATGGTGAAGATGTTCTGATATGATTTGTGGAAGAATGGGCTTAATAATTATGGGATTTATATTTCTTTATTAATTTTCATATATAAAAATAATATGATTATCTAAAATTACATTGAAATTAAATATTTGAGGACCTAAAAATCTCAATAATAAAATCATATCACAAACCTATTATACCTATATATATATATATATATATTCAATTGAATTTGAGTCAGAATGATAAAACTAATCAAATCTTCTATTACTCTCTCGTTATTAGGATGGTGATATATACATGAAAGTAGAGTCTTGAAAAAATGAGAAAGACTTTGAGGCTTCATTTGGAACGGCTTTTATTTTTGTACTAGAAAGCTGCTTTAAGAAGCAGGAAAAAAGTCGTCTTAAATGAAACATAAGACACATAATTAGATAGGGTGACCAGCTTGCCACATAGGCTAGTCATTTGACAACTAAGGGACTAGATCACAATGCAGACAAACCTGTGTGGCAAGCCACTTTCCTAACAAATGGGCTACTTATTTCTTTTTCAATATTTGTTTATGACATGCATTCACCGTCGGGGCATCTCCCCGTCGTCTAGGGTTTGCTAGGTGCGTCCCCTCGGCGGGCTTCGCCGTCGATTTGCTCAGGGAAGTTCTCTCGTTTCCCTGTCTTTTTCCTTTTTGGTCTCTTCGAGTTTTTTTGTTGTCGTATGGTGCCGACACGCCTGTTGGACCCTAGTTTTTTATATGGTTGCAATTTTTCATGGTCTTTCGCCGATGCTTTAGATGGTTCGTCGTCTTCTGTTTGTTTCTCGAAGCTTAAGTCTTCGTCTTACAGTGGTATGCCTTCACTGTGGATATATGAGGATGAAAATTAGGGCTTTGGCAGCTGCCTTCCAATTTTCGTTGGTTGGCTTTTTTCTTGCCAAGCGACCTAGCTTAGAATCCATTAGGAGATTTTTTTTTTCAATTTAAAACTTATAGCTGATTTCTTTGTCACCGTGCTTGATTCTTCACACATTCTGGATAAGCTTTCGAATGATCTCGATTATGATCGGGTTTTCTGTCATCGTTCATATCTGATTTATAATTGTTATATGAAATTAACGAAATGGACTCATTCTTTGGATATCTCTGTTGAATGCCCGGTGATTCCTATATGGATCTCTTTCCCCTGTCTTCGACCTCACCTCTTTAACCCAAGAATTATTCATTCCTTAGGCTCTATCTTTGATCATCCGCTCAAGGTCGATTCTACAACTTCGTTGGGGTTGAGGCCATCTATAGCAAGAGTTTTGGTTGAGATTGATATAACTAAAAATTTCCGGACTCTGTTTGGATTGGCCCTGAGAAGCTGGGCTACATCCAAAAGGTTGAGATGGAGGTGTTCCCTCCGTATTGTGCTCTTTGTCATTCTTTGGGTCATGTTAGGGGGGAATGTAAGTCCAAAGTTGGTGTCCCCCTTAAGCCTTCTGCTTATGTTTTCGTTTCTGATCCAGGGGGTGCTGTTTACGCTCCTGTTTTGAATGATTTGGTTTTAGTGCCGGACCCCAACACTTGTAGTAAGGATACTTTAGTAGCTAATCCTGATTGTATACCTGGTGCCAGTAATGTTGGGTATTGTGTTGTGGATGATGTTGATATTGGGAAACATCTAGCTGAATCACCTTCCCCTCCTCATCATGTCTCTGTTGAGGTTGTGCGGGCCACTTTGGCTATTTCGTTGAGTGGAGCGATTAACAATTTGGATTATATTTGTGACCCTACAGTCGTTTCTCCCCCTTTGGTTGTGGCCTCTTCGAAGGGTGTGGACTTTGTTTCCTGTGAATTGATTTCTCAGGACTCTTCGGGCTCTGTTCATTCGGTCTCTCACCTTAATCCTGAGGCTTTAGTTGGTGATTCATCTGCTCGGTGGATGTCTGTAATTTCAATTCCCCTGTCACGCCTACTTTTCTTGTACCCGGCCCTTTTATTGACGTGGCTGTTAATTTAATTTCTCTGAGGCTTTGTTTGTTCAAGTGGGGGAGGATGTGAGAATGCAAATTGATTGGCTTCAAGCCTCGGAGGATTCCTCTTCGGAGGATAGTGAGGAGGAAGAACCTGGGGAAGAGTTTGTAAAGCGTAACGATCGTCCTGTTGTTTCTGTTACTTCTTGTGGTAGGGGTAGGCGTGGAAGGAAATAATGTTGGGTTTTTTTGTGGTTGGTGCTCTCATTTTGGTTAAGTTTGTGGTTTTTTAGTTGTGCATGTTGGTGGTAATGTGGTGGTGGATGTCTGGTTGTTCAACGAGCTCTTTCCTTTAGATGGTGGAATGTTCTTGTTGGAAGGCATTTTATTTGGTCGTTGCAATTTGTCTGGATATTTGTGGTTGTGAATTTTAGACTGAGGGTAATGATGTGGCTAGGGCTCAATATTCCTACGTCGTGGCTCGTGTTAACCTTTGGTGGTGTGTTCATTATTCATTTGGGATGACTACTTGGTGTTTTCTTGCTCTCACTCCATACTGGATGGCCCCTGCCTAGCTTAGGTGTGGTTAGGGGTGCAACTTTTGACCCGACCCGAAACCCGAATCCGACCCAAAAAAATTAGGGTTTGGGTCAACCCGTTTACGAAACGGGTCAGGTCCATGTTCGGATTTCTAACCCAATTGAAAAGTGGGTCGGGTTCGGGTTAACCCGACAACCCGCGGGTCAAACCGAAATGACCCGTTTCGCAAACCCACTGCGCTGCTCGAGTGCCCTCCAAGTCGTGTCTGCGTCAAATTGTGACGTCGCGTCCGCGTGAGGCGTGAGGTGGAGTGACGAGTTTGTCGTCCGCGTCACAGGCCGTCACAGGCTCCAGGCGTCGCAGGCTCCTGCGACCACGCCTTCTAGCTCGCACAGGCCACAGTCGTGCTCGTCCCACATCCGCCTCCACGTCGCTCGTCCCGAGTCGGCGTCCGCGTCGCTCGGCCCGCGTCCACGCCGTCCAACCCGCACAGGCCACAGCCATGCTAGTCTCGCGTCCGCGTCGCTCGTCCGGCGTCCACGTCGTCCAGCCCGCACAACCGTGCTCTGCGTCCATGCCGTCCAGCCCGCATATATTCGCGGGTCAGGTCGTGTCAACTCGGTAACCCGCACAGGTCGGGTTCGATTGACAAACCTGACCTATTTGCAAAATCGGGTCGGGTTAGGGTCAACCCGTTTACAGACGGGTCAAATCGGGTTCGAACCGAACCCGACCCGTTGACCCGAATTGACACCCCTAGGTGTGGTTCGTAGCATTTGCCTTTACTGAGCCTATGGATTGTTCCCCTTTAGGTTCCTTGTCGCTTTTCTTCCCACTTGTTAGCTTGCTGTAACCTCTTTTTTTAGTTGGAATAAAATCCGTGTTTTGTTAAGGAAAAAAAAAACATGCATTCGCATCCAAACTTCATTTTTTATAAGATTAGTAGTTAAGATAGTGTGATTCGATAAGATAAATCCAATGATTCCAAAAATGTATAAATCCAATCTAACGAGCATAGATTAACTAGTCATGTGTATAATTTAGAGTTTCTCAAACCCATATAAAGAGTCAAGTGCATTTCAAATTTTGTGTGCTTATAATTATAACAAGCAACTCAACGAGGAAACTCCGTCCATAATAAGAAACATTATTTTTTTAATTCATTAATGCATAAAATATATTCAAAAAATATAAAATAATTAAGGGCCTATTTGAAGTGTCACGTTGAATATCCAAAATTATTGTAGAATTGATCAAAAATATCATCTTGACAAAGAGAAATTATTCTATTCGGAGTCCAGACGAGAAGAATCCTCCGGACATATGAGCGTACATATTATATATAAATTTGTATATAGTGTGTATCAAATTTTTATACACACTGTGTGTACATATTGTGTACTACACTCGTAGTCCAGATGGAAAGAACCATCCGGACTCCGCACAAATTAATTTCTTCTTAACAAATCTACAAATAGGGCATATTTATGAGAGAATTTTCAAGTTTCATGCTTAGTAAACATATAAAACATAATCTATAAATAAAATTTTATGACCTTGACTGTTAAATACAAATGGACTGATAAATAGTTCAAGTTGCATACATTAATGGTACTGATAACCAACACAATGAACCACACACCCCCTTATTGGTCAAACAAGTTTAAATTATGCATCACAGAAACAAGACTTAGGTTGCCTTTGCGACTGTTTTCTTACTGCTTTATGAAGTAATTTTTTAGTACAAATAATCTTTGAATTAAAAATTTTTGTACTAAAAAGATGCTTTATAAAGTAATAAGAAAACTGTCCCAAATAAAATCTTATACTTCATTTGGGACATCTTTTTTATTGCTTTTTAGAACAGCTTTCTAGTATATAATTCATGAAATTTTATACTAGGAAACTGTTTTAAAAAACAGTAAGAAAATCATCTCAAATGAAGCCTTACTGAAACAAAGACATCTAAAAAGAAAAGTTTCATTTCAGCCACTGATTGATTAATGAAGCTTAAGCTGCTGCAATTTGCTGCTTGGCTTCCAGGGCTTTCTCATACTCTTCAATGGACTTGAAAAGCTCAGAGAAATTACCTTTGCCGAAGCCTCCGCATCCTCCCTTCTGATATTCCTTTCCTTCTTCATCTTTCGTCATGCAGCCGATCCTCTGTATGATCTCGAGAAATAGTGTTGGCCTGCAAATCCAAACAAGAAATCTCATGAAATACATAAGAGAGAATTTATTTTTAAATATTAGATGTTGTATAATAATTTTATTGTTCTGTATATAGGATTATTTAAAAGGATTAAAATGAGAAATTATGATATTTTGAGAATATGATAATTTAACGTTTTTAATATATTCAACAAATATCATGTTGAACCGACTAAATATTATAATTATTGAAATTAGATTAATAATTAATTAAATTACCTTATTTTAATATTAGTAATAATTAAAACTATTCGAAGAAATTATTTAAACCTTCTAATGATTAGTAGAGAAAAAAGTTATTATACATAATTTGATTCTTCATTACTGGTTAAGTATAGATCATAAAATATGTTAAAGATCTTTTTTTTTAATTGAACTTTAACTTTATGTAATACTTTAATTATAAAACATGTTAATTAAATTTAAGATTGATTTAAATCTTTTAAAAATTAGAAACACTACAACCTATACCGATGATTTTTTTTTAGGAAAATTTCCGTCAAAAATTTTGATGAATTTATTTGTCAAAATAATTATTTAATTTCCTACGAAAAAAATCTGTCAAAAATTCTGCCTGAAAAGGCCCCTGTTTTGACCCGAGCCCACCTCCCTCTCCCATTTCATGTTTTCCTCTCTTCCAAACATATCTCTCGGCCACATCGTTGCCCTTCACCGTCGTCGCCCTTTCTTGTCCAAGGTTATTTCTAAACTGTTTAGTAGGGGTGTCAATATTTGACACGACCCGAAAACTCAATTAGAAAAAACCAGGTTCGGGTCGACCCGACAAGGAAACGGGTTGGGTTCGGGTTTTATTTTTGGACCCGTTTGTAGTTCGGGTCAGGTTCAGGTCAACTCGATAACCTGGGTTTGACCTAAATTAACCCGCCAAATTGACTCGCTGTCATGCGGTCACGTCGAGCCATCGACTGCCGCGCATGTAATGCCCTCACTCCGCACGCCAAACGCTTTTGCCGCCACCGACTTCCTCGCACGCCGTACGCGGGCCTAGCCCAGACCGCTACTGTCGACTGGCGACTGCCACGCACATCACGGGCGGCCCCGCGGAATGCCCTGCAGGCCTGCACTCGCGCTCGACCTTAGACAGGCCGGACAACACTCTACACTCGCACCAACGCACACGACCCTAGTGCTAGACGCACGCACCGACTGCCTGACTCCCATTGGACGATTGGACGTTGACGAAACCACAACGGTTGTCGGCTTTACTGGATGTAACCTAAACCCTATTCCGAGTCGGTTCGATTCAATCCGACAACCCGTGTAGGTTGGGTCTGGGTTGGACATCTTCATCCATTTAGCTAAACGGGTTGGGTTCGGGTCAACCCGTTTATGCTTGGGTCAAGTCGGGTTGGACCCGAACCCGACTCGTTGACCCGAATTGACACCCCTACCGTTTAGCCCAGCTTCCTCGATATTTGGAATGTAAAACTTCATCTATATAACCATTTTCAAATTTTTTAGGATTTCATTCATTAGATTTTGTATATTTAGAATTGCACAAAAATTGTCTTTTGCATCCATCACTTTACTAGAGTTGGCATTTTTTTAGTTTTTTTTTTTTATTATTTTTATTTGAGATAGCATTACATACAAAATGGTTCTTATTTAGGAAACATCCACACCTAAAATTATAGGGTGACATATATATTGTTAAATTGATATGTTAAATTGTAATTATTTAGGGCTATTCATGAATTAGATCATTGCTTATAATTATATTATTTTAATGTTTAATAGCAAAGTTACATTCACTAATTCCATTAGAAGAATCCTAAATAGTGGTGATGGGATGTGGTTGAAAGAGAGCAAAAACATTTGTATATTTTCAACTACTCATATTTTTTTGTTTTATATTTGTTAGATCAAGTTATATATGGATATTCGAAGTCAAAGGTCTTAAATATACAATAGATTGTTACCATGACGAAAGGCACTAGCATATGAGTTTGTTGTGGATTGAATATTTTATTCGCATAACATGTCAACTATCTTCATTTTTATGAGATAGGATATTTAGGTGTTCTTGTTCAAAGTATAAAAATCAAGCATATCTTACACCTGATGAGGTTAGACTTGATTTATATCGTAGAGAATTTGTGCTAGGGTATTGATTTTGGACCTCATATGGAGAGTATGAGCCACATCCAAACTCTCAATGTGTTCCCTCCATAACTTCAAAAATAATAGAGGATAATCATAATTGAAGGACGTACATAGAAAATCCCACTAGGCAGCCCATGCATGAGATTAGGGATATCATCAGGAGCAGGTACGAAGCTCCTTATCTATCTTGGAAGAAAATCCAACATGATATTCAGGATATGTAGCTCAGGGAGTTTGAGAAAAACCAATAGTAATTATTGTAAGTCTAGACATTTTTATACAATGGCTACTAATATCTTCTATTTTGACTATCTTAAACAAAAAGAATTTAGGTGGTTGTCTCAATATAATACAATAATAAGAAATAACTTTGAAAAGAGATGTTCAAATCGCATGCGAGAAATGTTTATTGATATTAGAAAGTCAGGTAAGCTCCTCTTGTGGCTTGAAGAGGGTGTATTGGATGAATTGATCAGAGTTTGAGCCAGCCTAGATTACAGTAGGAAGATGGACAAGAATAAGAAGAATAGAGCCTCAAATTGTGGGGGTTTAGTGAGCTGTCTCTATACTAGTGGTTAAGTTCATTACACCGAGCATAGGCGACGAGGGCAACACGTGAGGGTGCAGGCGCTAGCCGCTAGTTGGGATGTGATACGATTGTGGGTGCGCCAGGCTAGCAGTGCGCACGGGGGCCAGGGGCGAGGTAGGTCACAGCCACAGACAAGTTTCAAGCGATGAGCATGACGCGGTGCGTGGGTGCTACTGGTGCTACAATATTAGTGGTGAAAAAAAAAAAAGTTAATCAATGAAGGAAAAAAAAAGGATGCAAATTACAGTACCATGAATTCAGCAGAAAAGAATAATTTTACCCTTCTATTTTTTTTTTCTTTAAATACTTTCATATTTTTAATTTTAATTTTACCCTTCTAGATATACAACCAGAGACAGTAAAAGCGCGGTTTGACTGTGCTACAATGTTTTCCATCATTTTCAAGGTAGGTGGCATATGGGTCCTTATTTACCACTATAGTTCTATATGCCCTTTAATAAGAAAAGATAGAACTTTAAAGTCCTCCCATTTCAAGATCTGTACATTCAATAAGGTATATGTTCTTGAATGTGGGCATGCAGTCCCTCTGTTCTGATGTTAGGATGAATAATGTTCCTTACAAACAACTATCATTAATTACATTATATTTGAAAAACAATATTTTAATAAAGACCTGAAACAAGCCTAAACTAAAAGCAAAGAGGACTAAGGTTTCATTTGGGATAGCTTGAAAGTCAGTTGAGAAAGTAATAAAAAAGCTGTCTGAAAAGAAACCGACAAAGAAACTTGGATGATGATATTTTTTTATAAGACCAACGGTTTTGCAAAATGTGGGAATTGAGTAATATGAACCCTAATCTACCCTGATATGCCGATAGGCCATGCAGAACTTAGCGTGCTCAGATATCTCAAACATTCCATCACTTGATAGGAATTAGTTCAGACAGCCAACCAAGGCATAAGAGCATCAAGAAAACATTAGAACATACAAATCATTTTTTTATACTCTGATTAAGGCTCAGGATTGTGGCTGCATGTAAGGAACATGAACGGAGACTCCAAAGAAGCATTAACCGAGTAAAGCTGAACATCCATAAAGATTGAGCTAACCCAAGATGGTCAAAAATACATTTTTAGTTTATAATAAGCTTAAGTCTACGATGCCCTTTAGCACGGTGTTGATCTTATCCATGATCAGCTTGGTTTGTCCTTATAATTTTTTTTGCTAGAAGGCGTAGTTATATTTGAACACAATTTAGTTAAGACAAGCTAAAAGGGCTACAAGACATGAAGAACTCAATCAACTTGAACACTTCATTACTCGAATTGTTACCTCAAAAGTTCTACTTAGATTAAGCCTTCAAATCAAAAAAGTAATTTCGCAACTTGTCTCGTCCAAAATCCTTTGGGCCTTGAGTGGAAATCAAGAAAGCCAATTCAAATGTTCATAAACCTTTACTTGCAAACTCAGAATGGTGGAGCTTTTTCCATTCAAAATAAAATGACCCAATTGAATGACATCAACTTCTTAAAATGCATTATCGAATGAACTCAAATTAAATGACCAACAAACAATTCGAGATCCTCTAACTGAATTTCTTGAATTCTGCTATTAGGATTTCTTGAAGACCACGTAGCTCTTTTTATCAACATGAGCAGCTGGAATGAAAACATACTCTGACCTAATAAAGACCGAATAACCCAGCCAAAAATGGTTCATCATAACACTCAAGTTTTGTATAAATCCAATGGAGAATCCAAGTGATATCAAAATCAAAGTGGCTGTAAATCAAGTTAATCACTTCTAAAGTAAAACCTAGTGCTCCATTCACCTTTTAAACCTAAGGAATTGAATCACAAAACTTAATGGATAAACCTTCAAGATGAATTTGCTAAAGCCTAGGTATCAATCAAAATTCTTTTTTAAAATCACATTATAATTTTAAATTTTTTTTAAGGTTTCAATAATTTAAGAAGTCAAACAGGTTTAAGTTCAAACTTAACTTTAATTATACAGTTTATTTGTGTTTGAGTGAAAAAGCATTAAACATTTAAACTACAAGTTTATCTACGAAATGAATCATAAGTCAGAGTTCAGTTCACTTTCATACAGTTAGCATGTACATCCTTATGACCATATTATAAAGGTATTTTTATGTACATATCACCTAAAACTATTGAAAATACATATTTAACACCTAAACTTCTATATTTACTAATATATCACATAAAATCCCCTTTTCCTTCTATTCTACCACTCCACTGAAGCGATCAGATACTTGTATTCACTGCGAAAAAATGTCATT